TGATCCAAAAAAGAAGATAGAGAAAGAGAAAAGGAGAGAAGTCCCTTAAAAGTTCCACACATGCAATAAAACTTCCAAAAAAGAAGAAGAGTATTTCCATAACACTCCTTCTTCCTCAACTACTCCAAATATAAATAAAATGACTCATAAAAGGAACTACAAATAGGTTCTAAGAGCATTCTCCAAACAAGTCTATCATATATGATGATGTGTCGTACTACCAATAAATTAGTGATTTATTTTGCTTTTCTCATGGAACCTAATCACAAGAATGTAGATAGGGTAAACAAGGATCGAACCCACATAAAAGTGGCCTAATTAACAGCTTCTATTAATTGATTGTTCTATAGTGTAGAGGAATTAAATGGGGGTTTGTGTTTGTGATTATTTGTAAGTAATCAAAAGTAAATTTAACTAAAAATAATGGGAAAGACTTTGGTTGAAGTTCAATATTTACTTTTGGTTTAGTTGTTAATCATTGATTCAGTTATTAACCTATCCTTAACATGAATATTCATCATCGAACAATAACATATATATTGTCCATAATTTTTTCTTAGTGATTCGTTAACCAAATAAATGCTACTTGATTAATTCTATAGCTATTGAACAACCTACTCGGATGCTAGATAGATTTAATCCAATAACAACATTAAAGTAAATAAAGATACTTGAAGCTAAACCACCATTTTAGACGCTAGAAAGACATAATCTAGTTTTATGTTTCCAATGGATTAAACGAAAGCTCATTTATAATTATTAACCCCTAGTTACTATCATAGATAAATTTAGACAAGTAATTACAAGGACTTGAATACTTAGCTAGAAATAGATTATGATGATCAAGTAATTAACATGCATTATAATCAATAAATCACACAATCATAACCAATTCATGCAAAAAAACATAAAATACTAAAAAAACATAAGTTTAGAATTAAAACTTGTTAATATCTCATAACAATTTAACCAAAAGATTCAACTTCCTTCAACCAAGATAGGTGTTTAGTTGTTCATAATCGATTACAATGGAGAGTTTTCTATATATGCATGGTGGTTGCTAAAAGTAAGAATCCCAAAATAAAACCCCAACATCACTATTTATAGCCAAAAGTAGGATTACAATACACACATGTCGGTCCCACATAGTCATATGGCTTGCTTAGTAAAGCCACACAGACTTGTTTTTTCTATTTCACATGGTATGGAGTCTTGGAGAGTTAATGTTGCACGATTTGTTGGACATAGGCACACGACCGTGTGGAATTAAGCCTTTATCTCGTGTTACATCATTTTGCCTCGTGTGCCTTTGTTGCTTCATTCTTCTTGTTTCGACACAAATGGGCATGTCTTTTCTTCAATGCATTCCACGTTGAATGGCTATTGCTCGTGTGATACCTCTTTCCTTTTGGGAGACAATTTAGTCTTGACACACACACGAGTGTATTGCTTCTCTTGCTCTAACCGTGTAGAAAACTATTGCTTGTATGGCTTTGTTGTTGAACAATCTACACGGTTTCTTCTTTTGTTTCACACGACTCGTGGCTTTTCTCTTTGAAATGCGCACAACCATGTGACTCATAAGCTTCCTTGGTGATTTTTGCTTCTCTTTGCTTTGGCTTAGGTTTCTTTGCTCGGATTCATCGTTTTTCTTACAAAATCCAAAATTGTTATTTTAATCTTAATTTACTAAATATAATACACTAAACACTAGAAAGCTCAATGTAAAAGAACCTAAAAATCATGCTAATTATACACTTATCAATATACATCTCTCACTCTCCTATTAAATTGCACATAAACTAATACATTCCAGCATAAAGGAATATTTTCAAGCCTATTTGTCGTTTTATAACTACTAATGAAGGTCAGATGATCTCTTACCCAATCAAAAAGACTTATTTTATAGATACACATTGTAAAAAAAAATTCCAATCATGCTTTACATAAACTTGACCATCACCATTGTTATCGTAATATCTTAAATTTATTGATTGAGTTGGCCGACAACTTATCAATATTTGTTGGACTTACATGCCCAAACCAAAATTTAGATATGACAATTTATGAATTTCAAATCTTTGCTTAAGGCATAAAAGTAGGCCGAAGAGACAGCTATGTGCATATCCAGTCAAAACAAATTTCATATTTAATTTTCTCACAAAATTCTTTTGCTACAGAAGATTATTTTGAGTAAAATACAAACCATTTCCTCGTCATTTCAGCCGCATTAGAAATTTAAAAATGAAAAAAAAATAAAAATGAGAGAGTATTCATTTTCTTTCACAGAAGGAAAGCTTTAGGTCAGTCTCTGTAATAGTACTGTAGTCACTTTGGTCTCACAGTTCCAAATCACTATCAAACAGTCCTCCACAAAATATATCTATCTTCTTCTGTTTCATCTCGTTTTTTCCTCTGTTTGTTTCTTGACTCCAGGTTGATCATGGGTGTTATCACTTCTGAAATAGAGATTACTACTGCAATCTCCCCAGCCAAGATGTTCAAGGCCTTTGTCCTTGATGGGAGCAGCCTTGCTGCCAAGGCCTTGCCGCAGGCGATTAGCAGTGTCATCATTCTTGAAGGAGATGGAGGGCCTGGAACCATCAAGCAAATTAACTTTGGCAATGGTCAGTTACATCAGTACTTTGGTTTACTAAATTCTAATATGTATATGCATCCAGTATGCATTGATGAAGTAATTAGTGTTTTTTTTTCCCTTAAAATAAATTTCTTCAGCTAGCCAATTAAAGTATTTGAAGCAAAGGACTGATGCAATAGGCATGGAGAATTTCTCATATGCCAACACTGTGTTTGAAGGTGATGCCTTGATCAACAAATTTGAAAAAATATCAAACGAGTACAAGTTTGAACCCTTCCATGATGGAGGATCCATCTGCAAGAACAGCAAGAAGTTCTACACTTTAGGTGACATTGAGATCGAAGAAGAGGTTATCCAGGCTAGCAATGAAAGGGCCAGGACATTGTTCAAGGCTATTGAAACCTACCTCCTGGCAAATCCTGAAGCTTAAATTAATCATTTTCGTAATGGTTGTATATTAAGAAGATGCATCTTGTCTTTTCTCCATAAAATGGAGCTGATGTTTCCTTTTGTTTAGCAAAAAGTGCATCAAGCACTGCTGCAAGAATTTCCGGGGCCTCAATAATTAAATGCTTGTAATAATTTTCTAAAAGATATTGAAATCCATATGAAATTCAAGCTTTTACTTGCAAATCACCAGTTCAATGTTCATTGATTTAATTTGAGATGCTGTTGATTATCAAAAAGATGCTTCCAAATTCCTAGTTGATGATTAACAGCTAATAGTCAGAGTGAATGGTGTTATGGTAGCTCAAGCTTTATTGATCCTAAACTTGTCGTTTTCAAAGTCCCTCCATGTAGCCTGCGATATTGTTAAATAAAATAAGCTTCCCCATAGGTTAGCAACTTCTAGAAGTTTGAACAGTAACAGCTGTGGGCATTCTAAGACATTGGCATCCAAGAGTTCTTACCTAGTTTTCTTCTGTTAGGTTTCTTTTCTTGATTATAGAATTTGATGTTTTCCCCCTTTTCTTTATGGGTGTAAGTGGGTCATATGTGTCCAGCTGAGTGAATATCATAGCATAATCAAGAACTTGTAAGACATTAACTTGTTCATTCATACTGCACAAACGCATACTCTCTCACTTGGCTTATAATACCCTGATCAATAGATCCACAATTTGGTCCTTGATGGTGGTTAAAGACACCATTAAGAATCAGAAATTGTTTCATATTTAATTTAAAATTAGGGAAGGAAAGTATTTCATCATTTGGCATCTAACACAAAAAAAAGTTGGTTCAAATCTTCAAACAAGAAAAGCTTTAGCCTCTATCTTTAAATAACAGATCTAGTTCTTGCATTTCTCCAACCCAAACTATCTTTAAGATCAAGGGATCTTCATCTTCACATTTCATTTTTCTTCATTTGATCAATTTTCAAAATCCAGGTTCGTCACGGGTGTTTTTCACTTATGAATCAGAAGTTCCTACAGTGAACTCACCAGCCAGGCTGTTCAAGGCCATTTCCCTTGATGGCAACAACATCAAGGTCAAGGCCTTGCCACAGGCCATTAAAAAGTATTGCCAGTCTTGAAGGGGATAGAGGGCCTGGAACTATCAGGCAAATTAACTTTGGGACTAGTTACTATTGTTTTGCCAGCAGGTTCACATTGTATTTCCAATAAACAAGTAACATGCTTTCAAAACTAACAACATAGGCATGCATTTTGAACCACTTTTTAACATCATGTCTTATATTTATAAACTAAAGAATTACACATGTCTGTAAATTTAGGTAGCCATTTTGTGAAGGAGAGGACTGATGCAATAGACAAGGAGAACCTCTGATTTGCATACACTACGTTAGAAGGCAATGCCTTGGAAAACACAAGAAAAAATCTTCAATGGATCTAAGATTGAGGCCTCCCCTGAAGGAGGATCCATCAGCAAGACCAGCACCACATACTACACTATTGGCTACAGTGAGACCATAGATGAAGAAATTAAGGATAACATAGAAAAGCAAATGGGATTGTTCAAGGCCCTTGAAGCCTACCTGTCGGTGAATCCTGATGCTTAAATGCATTGTGTTTGAGCTTTTTCTTTTCTTCATAAGTTGGTGCTGGTATTTCTTTTGGTGTTTTGGAAGCTGCAACTGGCTTAGTAAAAAAGACTTTTCAGTGTGTCCTTCTGGTCCTGTAATTCAATAACATTAAAAAGTTAATGTTGTATTGCTTTCAATATGAGATTGAAGCTTTTACTTGCAAATGATTTGTAGCAATTCTTCAGTTTGACATCATATAATTACATGTCAAGAAGACATTCCAAATTCAATATAGTTGCTTCAGTAGCACACTAACTATTTGGTTGAACAGTTGCTTCTCAATGAGAGAAAACCTTCAGTTGAAACTGAAATTTCCATTTCAACAAACCAATCAACTATAAATCCAGAATATCCTGACTAATCTTTAGCCATAATGCTTCCTAGATAACCAAATCTAAATTTGACTTTCCACAAATAACGGGAGTGAAGCTCACTAACAACTTTGGTCATATCTGATTAAGACAATGTAGATCAATGAACTCACATTTGTTGCAGAAAATGCAGACTAGGATTTTGATCCATGTGATAACTGAAGAATGATGGACAGATTGCAGGAAAACAAAGAGAGAGATGTTACTGTAACTATGGTAGATTTAGGTAAAAATATCCACTCTTGAGTGCAAGAGTAAAAGCAAACCTCTAGAGTCCAAAACAAGAGTATGCTGGTGAGGGCTGGACCCATCGAGATCACCCAAGGACAGGTTTATACTGGTGTGGCCTTCTGTGTAGAGTGGGGAATGGAGTGGTGGGCAAAGGCCCCAACGATACACCACTATAGGATAGAGTTAAAAAAAATAGTCCAAAACAGTATCTGCTAAAGAATTAGCGTAATACACAATTAAGATCATTGCAAATGCTGGTGCCTAGTGGTTACAAATGATTTGCTTGATGCAAGAAGCTGCAAGTGCATGGCAATAGCCAGAAGAATAATGTAATAAGCATTATTAGAAAACAAGTATCAACTGATGATGCGAGTAAATGAATGATTAACCATATAACAAAAAGCTAGAAGAAAGTGACTTGCATAGAAAATAACAAAGCTTTTGTAAGTTCCAACCATTATCAGCCAAGAAACTAGAAGAAAGAAATACCAAATAGAGATTTGACAACCATCATGGTCAGAATTGTATAGGAAAGTTCTTGGTTTTTATCTGTCTAGCAGCAACATCAATAAAAATAAAAGTTAAGTACACAAATACAGTCCAGAGAACTGATACACACACACACACACACACACACACATATATAGTGACGATTAAACCCGCCACCACTTGAGATCTCTTCATTTATGGACTATCCATCCAATGTACATACACATGAACAGAACGATTGAATAACTCAGTCATAAAATATCTCGCATGATTCTGAGCGGCCAAAAATTGTGTAGCGATTATTTGCAAGATTGTCGTAAAAAACATCCCTTAAGAACCTGCAATGAGCATCCAAAGGAGGGAAGTTTTAATCGACAGATCTCATCTCTCCCTATTTGAATTGGTAGCCTAACAAGTTCCAAACTGACTGACAAAACTAAGTAATAGAAAGAGATGACTTACAGAGGCACAAACTGTAAGAAAAATGCTAGCTGAGGAAAAGGTAAGTCTATGTATTCCATTATCTTCAATACAGCTTCTGACTTGATATATGATCTAAAAATTCACCATAAGGTATTAGCTCTCCACATTCAATGCTTCTCTATGCATATGCTCAAATCTACAACTTCTAATCTATTCATCAACCAAATGAATCATTGAAGAAAGTTTGAAGCTTGAAAACTAACTTTAATCACCATGTTTTTTACCTTTTCTTAAAAGAATTTGATCTTAAGAAAAATACATAGTAACTGTATGTTCATCAATTACCTATCTCTTTCAACAAGTACAACACTTGATATATCATCAGGAGCTCTTCCGGACCTCCTTAGCAGTTTTCGCCCTGCCTCGCTCTGGAGAGCCTCATACCTGATTCTCCTGTCCATTATGAATGAACAAGTAAAGAAAAACTTCACCTAAGGAGTAATAATTGTTAAACTAAATATTATGCTCATTGGTAATACAAATATATATGAAGGTAAAGGTAAACAACACCAATCGCCAGTCTAATTAAAGAAACTAAAGGCATATATACACATGCATCCAACAACATATTCTAGCCATCTAATACAAAGAATGCAAATTAATTTTGCTAAACTGTCAAAATTTGTCATAATCCTTGCATTTTACATGTCTCTAAATAACCCACTACACAAAACGTAGAATTTCAGCACCACATCCATCAATTGATAAGATAAGATTACATAAATAAAAGAGCACCAGCAGCATCATATGCTAAGATTAATGTAACAAACTGACCTATTTCCATCATTATCCCGCACAAACCTTACACCTCCATTACATAGGTTACACACCCCTGCAGCCATAACAAAAATAACTTATTCGTTCCGAAAACAATAAATAATTGATTGAAATGGGAAAAAAAAAAAAAAAAAAACAGCTTTAATTTATGTGCGTACCATCAAATAACATGATTGGTCTTGAGTCTTTCTCGAAGAAGCTATTAGTTGCTTCAACCCAGTTTACTGTATTGTCATTTCTTCGAGGGGACAGAGCGGCAAAAGCGGCACTTCTTCGTTTAATATGCATGGTGCTAGTGGCAGTGGGTGTCCACCTCAGACTTGTCCAACTTCCTGGACCTAGAATTGCCATTGGAGTCTGGAGACACAGCAAGCTCCGAGCCAACTCAGTCTGTCAGAGGCCACGCTTCTGTCTTCCAAAACAATTTCAAGGAAAGCGAGTATTTGCAATTACAATAAAACCTCTTCTTTTTCTTTAACCACTCGTTTTTAAGAATAAAACTCTTTTTTTTAATCCAAAAAAATATAATTTCATGGATAAGAAAAAAAGAAGTAAATTATAAATTAGCCTTTTATTTTCAAGAATCTAAGGAGGTGTTTGATAAACTATTTAAGTAGCTTAAAAAATTAACTTGTATTACTTAATATAAAAAGTTTGTTTGATAACCTAAATAATCTTATATTAAAAATTTAAATTTAGTTAAAATCTACTTAATTAGTCAAGTTAAAGTTTTTAACTTATTATTTTTTGATTAACATGCTCAGTTGAAAGATTTTTAAAACTTTTCAAATATGATTATATTACCCTTATATATTCTTATAACTTTAGCTATACAAAATAACCGAAAAACGAGTATCTACTATTCCAATTGCTAAAACAAAGGAAATTTTTTCCATTATCGGTGCTTCCATCTTGAAATCTGAAACGTCAAAGTTTAAATTATTAATATACTAAAAAAAAGGACAAAGAACTAAGAAGATTAACGAGTCATCGCCTGTGAGAAACCAGACCCCCACCCCAACCCAACCCACCCCACATCCCGGGGATGGCTGCAATTTTCAAGCCCTTATAACTTGGAAATACCATGAAGGTGTGGACATGTTAAACCTCCCCTCCACCCCCTATTTGACTAATTCATTGTTCTAAATCATTAATCACTACATGCTTATTAAATACAATATAATGTTCTTTACTAGGATAGCTTACTCACATAAAATGAGGAGAAAGACAAGAATGAGATCGGGTTTTGGTTTATATTCTTTTGTGTCTTTCTAATCCCATCATTATCAATATTTTTTTTTGGTACAATTTTATGTTAATATACTTCAAATCCATCAAGGGCTTCACGTGGGAATTTAGTTAGAGTAAGGAGTTTTTGTAATTTAGAAAGACACGATTCCTATAATAGAATCACAATTCGGATATGAACATAGTTGAAAAATTAATAAATTCTCTCCATTGCCTTATATAGTTTTCCTTATCTTTTATCCCTATTTGAAAATTGCTTTTTGTTTTCAATATAAATATTGACAAAATTCATTACATGATTCAGAACTATCTTCCAAGTATCAATAAAAGAACCTCAGCTTTGCTAAGAAAAGATGAACAATTAACTATAGCAAAGCCGAGTGATTAATTGATTGAATTAATTATTCAGTTTCTTAATCAATATTGACACATTCAATTTAATATTATTTTATTTTATAAAATGTTATATTTTCTTACCAATCTTTTTATATTTTTAACTTATTTTTTATTTCTCAAAATAAAAAACTAAAATAAATTGAAAATAAATGAAAATAGCTAAGTTATAAAAAATTTAAAAAATATAAAGACTAAACAATTTATTTTTTAAAAAAAGATTAATTAATTCATTTCTCGATATTAGATAAACTAATTTATAATTTAATCATATTTTTTTATATCAAAATTTGTTTTTTAGTCCAAAAATATAATTTCATTGGAGTAAATTATAAATTAGTTCCCCTATTTTTGAAAAATAAATTAGTTAATTTTTCTTGTTTTCAAATCTAATTATTTATTTTTTTACTAATATTGATTAGTTTAATTTAATATCATTTTATTTTAAAATTTTTACTTTTCATATATTTTTTAATTGTTTTTAAAAAATAAAAATAAAAATAAATTAAAAAGAATGAAAAATATTAAGTTAAAATAAAATTTTAAAATATAAAAAATAATAATTATTATTTTTTGAAAAAAAAAGACTAAGAAATTTATTTTAAAAAAATATAAGGAATTATTTATGATTTACTCAGTTCCATTGATGCTCCAAGCAAGTAAGTATTTAGTTTTTCTCTTTTGGTTTTTAATAAAGTCATGCCGAAAGGGGCAGGATTGTGATTTTGGCTTGAGGTTACGTGGCCTCGCAGTTTCTCATCTCGTGGTCTATGAGAGACCACTAATGTCATAAGAAGGATCGAGGTTTCGTTTTTGGAAAACATCAATTCAGTACCTAGCATTTAACGATTTTCTCAGTTTAATTCCAAACCAAGAACATTTTTAGTTTATCCCAAACTTTTTCTCTAATATACCAATGGCATTAATTAAGGGAAATCATCGAGGCACCATTGAAACTTGGAGCCATTCTTCTTGTGAGATAGTAAGAGAAAATATAAGAGCATAATTAGAGGAATTTGGATTTCAAAACTTTATTGGATATTTTTAGAGCTCATGTTTATAGAAATTTAGGTTGGTTTATAAATTTTAAGTAATTATCATATTAAAATATAAATAAGTAGAACGAGGGGTAGGAATGTATAATATTTTAAATTGATGGTAAAGACTTTAAATTATAATAACCCAATAGCTTAAAGATAAATTTTACCATCAGTATAATATTTTAAATATACAATAAGTAAGTGAATATTTCCTTCAAATAGTAGGTTATGGACATGTCAAAATTAATGAAATTTTTGAAATGAAGTATCTAAAATAAAAATAAAAATAAAACTAAAAATAAAAGTAGAAACCGCAAAAAAATTATAAGTGGTGCCGTTTAAAAAATAGTAATACTGTAATTTTCTAGACACTAAAATAAGAGAAGAAAAAATAAAATCTCTTCTTCAAATGCAATATTTCTTCTTTTAGAGATTTGAAAAATAATTTTTTTTCATTTTTTAAATTTGTATTAAATTTAGAAAACGTATTTTTTGATGTCTTATATATTTTTCTTTACAAATTTTTTACTGTTTTTCAAATAAAAAAGAAAATTAAGTATGGTACAACATTCTTCTTTATATTCAAACGCTTTTAGCATAAAAAGAAAATTAAATATTAAAATTATTATTACTTTTTATAGTAAATCATATATATATATATATATATATATATATATATATATATATGAAGCAAAATAAAAAATTAAAAAAGAGGCCGGGCTCGCACAAGGCAACCGAACGCGGGCCTAGCCTCTCATTTTTGCCTTCCTATAATATATATAATTAAAAAAGAGGCAAGGCTTGCACGGGGCAACCGGATGCGAGCACGGCCTCTCATTTTTGTCTTTCGATACACACACACACACACATACACACGTAGAGAGAGAGATATAAGTATGTTTGAGATAATTTGACTTAATTTTTTAAAAAATTAATAATTAATTAAAAAATCAAAATTTTTATTTCTTTTTATGTATATATTTATTCGGAATTTAGGATAACCAATTTTGCTATAGTTTTTATTTTAATCTATTTACTTCAATATATTTCATAAAGCTTAGGCTTATTTTTTTTTGTATATTTTTCTATTTATTCTATATACTCTTTTTTTAATATATTTATTCAGAATTTATCAAAACTAATTTTGTTATAGTTTTTATTTTAATCTATTGACTTCAATATATTTCATACCATTTAGTTGAGTTTTTTTTTTTTGTATATTTTTCTATTTATTCTATATACTTTGAATTTGCTATATATATATATATATATTAGTTTTATTAGAAATTAACTATATATCTGCAAACATAATATCAATTATTTGTTATTTATTTTTTATATTTTATTTTTTAAATAAAATAAGTTAGATAATGTTTTGAAAGAATCTACTAATTATTCAAATACAAATTTTTATGCTAATATTGTTAAATATTTTATTAATAAAAATATATAAATCAAATAGATTCGTTCAATATATAATTTTGATTTACATTAATCATCAAAAATACATCATACGAATCGTTAACTTTATGTATATAATGATTGTTTGATCGTAGTATAACGTAGGTATCTAACTAGTAAGTATTAAATACTAAGGACTCAAAGGACCAACCATCCCTGACATTGAATATTAAGGACTCAAAGGACCAGCCATCCCTGACATTGAATATATACGAAAGTTGATTGTAAATTAAAAAAAAAAAAAAAAAAAAAGCCCTGAATGATATTTTAAACCTGCAGGGGAACATAATTTGAATAAGCCGAACTTGCCATGCACACAACAGTAACTTGTGGAATTTTTGAATAGTAAAACGGCTAGCTGGAGAGCATATGCTAAGACAGGTGACAAACATTAATTAAAGAGGTTTCACTGATAGTCTAATTTTGACAGTAGGATTTGAGTGGAAAAAAATATTTTTCCGAAATAAAAATGTTATTTTATTTTAATTTATTAACAAATTCTAAATGAAATAAAAATTGATTTTTTAAATAGATCTTGCTTTGATCTTATCAAACCAATCTCTTTAATGTATCTAAAAAACAAAACAACAATATTAATTTTATCAAAATACTTGTATATATTCTTATGTAACTCAAATCTCGTATTATATAAAATTTATTGTCAACTTTATTTATTTATTGTGTAGTTTGAACTGACAAAATCAGAAAAAAATAAAAATATATTAGTACATAAAATTAATTAAATTTAGAAACGAATTGAGCATATAGTTACAATTGGCATAGATCATAGTTTGCATTTGTTTGTGTTTCTTGTTGCCAGTATGGCTGCAAAAACTCTACTGTTCTTGTGACACATCTTGAATTCAAAACTCATGTTGTATTATTAATTAAGGATCTTACAAAGATATGGCTTTCAGTTGTAAGTTAGAAATGAAATAATAATACTCTTTGACAAATACATTGAATAGTAATTAATTTCAATCTTCAAGGAGATGCCTGAACCATCAAACAAATTAACATTACTAACTTCCATCAAAGAGCGAGCGTAAGCATGCAGCCGACTGATGTTTTGGAAAAAGCCGATTAAACTTCTCCAGCAGCAAATTAAATTTGGATTTGAACTGTGTACAGTTGGATTAGTGTGTTTGATAAAGTAGCGGTTAAAAGTGACTTCCGACTTCACACGCTAAGACAGTAAAAACTACAGCG